AGTTGAGAAGCTCCTCGGTGGCAAGGCACCGGGGGTGGATGAGATCCGCCCTGAGTACCTCAAGTCTCTGGATGTTGTGGGGCTGTCTTGGCTGAGCTCAGTCACCCAGGAGGAGCTCAGAGTAGAACCACTGCTCCTCCACATTGAGAGGAGCTAGCTGAGGTAGCTCGGGCATCTGTTTCAGATGCCTCCTGGGCACCTTTCTAGGGAGGTGTTCCAGGCATGTCCCACCGGGAGGAGGCCCTGGGAAAGACCCAGGACACGCTGGAGGGACTATGTCTCTCGGCTGGCCTGGGAACGCCTTGGCATTCCACCGGAGGAGCTGGAGGAAGTGTATGGAGAGAGGGAAGTCTGGGCATCTTTGCTTAGGCTGCTGCCCCCACGACCCGGTCCCGGATAAGTGGAGGAAAATGGATGGATGGATGGATGCCAAATCCTGTTCACTAAAACCAGCCAATATACAGATAGATGACAAAAATGAAACAAACTAGCATAAAATGAGCAGCCACCACCGTTTGACACAAACATGTTAAACACAAAAAGACCAACTTTCTCTGACTGTGGTCATACAGGTACAGTATGTACTGCAGTAGTAGATCCAGGCCGGTCTACAGCAGCGGTCTGCTCTGTAGCTACAACAAGCTGGTCTGGTCTGGATGAAAGTCTGTCTAAAACACTAACACACAACCATCTGTCTGTCCACCTCCTGTCTGTCCTCACCTACTTCCACATCTATTCTGTACCATTCTGTTTCGGTTTACTTTTTTATACTGTCTCTTCCTCCTCTTTTTGGTTCTTCCTCTATATGTTTCTATTTCTATCCTTTTTCCTTTCCACTCACTCACCACCTGCCCTCTGATTGGCTGCCGTGCACCACCCTACACCCACGCTAGACCCTGACCTCAGCCTTGACCTTTCTGGTGACTCCCCAGTTCCCAATTATCCTGGTGAGCCTGTGAGTCCACTGACCCAAGAGGAGATGCAGCGAATCCTCTGGCGGAAGGAAGAGGAGAAGCATGAGGAGGAAGAGCGCCTGAGGAAGAAGGAAGAAGCAAGAAAGAGGAGGAGGAAGCTGAGAAAGGAGCAGGAAGAGAAACAGAGGAAGATAGTGGAGGCGAGGAGGAGGGAGGAGGAAGAGGCACTGAGGTTGCAGGAGAAGAAAAGGGAGGAAGAGTACAGGAGGCAGATGGAAGAGGAGAAGGAGAGGAGGATACAGGAGGAAGAAGACAGGAAACGGAAGGAGGCTGCGGAGAGAAAAGCACAAGAGAAGGAAAGGAAGCTAGAGGAGGAAAGAAGGAGGCAAGAGGAATTGCTGAGGGAAGAACTATTGGCTCTGGTGGAGAAGGAGAGAGAGGAGCGACAGGAGGAGGCAGAGGAGGAAGAGGAGGTGTGGTTGAGAGGAGATGTGTTTAAGATGCCCCCAAAAGAACCTGAAGAACCCGAAGAACCAGACCTCCTTCCTGCTCCGATGCCAAGACCTCCTGCTATGACAGAGGACGAGCTGAAAGAGGTGGAGGCAGAGGAGGAAGAGGAAGAGGAAGAGAGGGAGGTGGTGGTGGACAGAGGCGGCCTCCCTCCAGGCTGCGACATTTCCGATGTGACTGCGACATGTGAGAATGCCAAACTCACCCACTTCCCTCCTCTGGTCATCCCTGAGCTCAAATCTCTCAGTCTGGAGGGTAAGTCAACACCACAACCAGACAAAAGGCCAAGATGCACTGAAGCTTGGAGAAGGACTTTTACCACTTTAACACAGCTCAGTAGTATTTTATTGAATCTCAATCCAGAATTGAACCTTATACTTGACAAATGTACATTTTAAATTATGGATATGACAGTTTAGATAGAAGATTCTAAATCTAGAAACAGATGTGAAGCTAATCGTTTCACCAGAGAATGCTCACAACTTTTTGTCTGTTGGACAACAGAGGAACACTGTTCACTTAGGATCAAATACAGGGTTATTCAAAAAGAATGAACCGATTTCATTACGCAATATTTTATTAAGGAAAAGTAATACAAAACTCCAGCCAAGTCACAAGTATTCTACTCACAATCAACTTTTATTTCCTGTCTTACAAGTGTTCAATGTGGCCACCACCTGCAGCACGGACAACATCAATGGGATAAGAGAATTCCTCCCAGGCACGTATTGGCATATCACAATCTACTGAGTTGATCGCTGTTGTGGCCACATTGAACACTTGTAAGACAGGAAATAAAAGTTGACTGTGAGTAGAATACTTGTGACTTGGCTGGAGTTTTGTATTACTTTTCCTTAATAAAATATTGTGTAATGAAATTGGTTCATTCTTTTATGAATCAAATAAATGAAACAGTCCCCAATTTGAAAACGCATACAAAAACACAATTACAGCCAGGTTTCCTGCTCTCAGTGTTCCTGACTAAAATTCCCCTGACCTGCAGGCAACAACATCAACAGCATCCCAGCAGAAGCCTTCAATGGCATCCCCAACCTGGAATGGATCAATCTTAAGAAAAACAAACTCACCTCTGCTGGCATTGATGCCAAAGCCTTTAAAGTAAGACATACTGACACACTGGACCACTGCAGCCTTACAGAATAAAAGCCAATGTTTCTCAATTCAAGTTTTTCTCTAGAGGCTTTAATAAACTATGACAAAGCTCTTCATGACAGTTATCTTTAACAAGCAAAGTGTGAAGGAAGGCGTGTAAAAGAGACTTACAGAATATCTAAAGTAATGCAGTAAAAACACAAAGAATAAATATGTGAGATTTTCTGTGATATAATGGTACAAATGTTCTCAAACACTAAAATATCTTCAGGAGTCAGAAGATGTTTTATGAGCTTTAAGCCTTTTAAATTTAATTTAATCACAAACTAAATTAAACATAAAAAGCAGCATTGTTTTTAAACTGACAACTACAAGCAGCAAAACTATAAACAGACAGCAAGGAGGACTTGTAAGCATTTCTTCAATGAACATTTTTAGCAAGTAGGAGGGCACTCAACATTGCACATCACCAATTATATCCCAGTATCAACAGTACCTGTGCACTTTTGTCAGGGTCTGAAGATGCTAAGTCGTCTGTACCTGGATGGGAACCTTTTAGAAGCTGTGCCACCTGATCTCCCACCCACCCTGCAAGAGCTGAAGATCAGTGAGAACAGACTGAGGGGGATCGACAAAACCAGCTTCCAAGGTACTGGTACATCAATGCATAATGTGCCTCCATCAGCTTTAATGTCACAGGGGACCATCTGTCAGTCATCTACAATCAACAACTAACCATCAAGCTGCTAACTACCTGTCTACAAATGACATGATGTAATGTGTAAGGGGTCATTTTTACTGGATCCGGCTGCATTGCATTCCGTCTGTGACGCTATCGCCGGAGCTGATTGTTGCCAGTCTAGTCAATGGTTGTGTTCCCACCGGGTCCGGCTACATTCCGTCAACCTATCTGTCCCACATGTAGCTCTCCAGTCTGCTTTGCTAAAGACAGGCACCAAGTCTATTTTTGACAGATGTCGCATTTGGGACGCATCTGACAATGTTCAGCCTACCAATCAGATAGCGTTTTCCCTCTGTGTAAAACATAGGTTACGAAATGATTAGGATGAATGAAATTAAATTTAATTGATACATTTAATATAACTGTAGTCTTTGTCTGTAGGCTACAGACAGCAAGGTTGGAAATAAGAACATCCATCCATCTATTATCTATACTGCTTATCCTAATGAGGGTCATGGGGGCCTGGAGCCAATCCCAGCTGACACTGGGCGAGAGGCGGGGTCCACCCTGGACAGGTCGCCAGTCTGTCCCTGGGCTGACAGAGACAAACAACCACACACACTCACTCCTAGTGGCAACTTAGAGTCACCAATCAACCTAAGCTGCATGTCTTTTGGACTGTTGGAGGAAGCCAGGCACAGGGAGGAACATGGAAACTCTGCACAGAAGGGCCCTGGGTCGGCCGAGGCTTGAACCCGTTTTACCTTCTTGCTGTGAGGCAGCAGTACTGACCACTACATCACCATGTCACCCAAAATAAGAACTACATGGTGGGCCACGGAAAAGTAGCCTGCGAGCCAGTGGACTGTTTTGGAGGCGGGGTACTTTTTCGTGGGCCCCCCCGTGTAAATGTTTTGGAGGCGGGCTACTTTTCCGTGGCCCACCCTGTATAAACACAATTATCAGACAGTAAAGAAACCCTTTAACTACAAGAGGATGACGCTGCACAGAGGACGGATCAAAACCAGGTCGGAAATGGAATGCAATGCAGCTGGATTCGGTGGAAATTAGGGTTAAGAGTGGTGCGTCGTCTCCAGTGCTGGAGTCTCTACGGGCCAAGTGCAGCACAAACCCCAGCAGGCAGAGACATTAACCAGACAACAATTCTGTTGTTTGACAAGGCTCATGTTAATCAGCAACAGCTGAGTAAAGTTGGTAGTGACAGTAATTTCACTTAGCATAATCACTTCTTGCCGACTAAAAACTTCACCTCCTACAACATGACATGATTAATTATCATGCTCCTTGAAATTTTAAAATTGTGGTAATTTAAAGGGCAATTTAAATTTGAAACCAGTCAGGACTTTTAGACATGATCAGCACGTGTTTGTATCAGCTGTACACCTCACTGTACACTGCCCAACATTCAGTCAGTGTCAACTCTGACATTTGGTTGAGGGCTTTAGAAACAAAAGGGAAGTTGGACTTTGTGCTGGGAATCTTGTTTTTGTTGTTTTTGCTTTAGTAAACTGCTAATTTAAGTCTTAATTATCAACTTCTAGCCTTCTCTCAACTCAACTCAATTTATATAGCGCTTTACCACAGCACAGCTGACCAAAGCGCTTAACATACCATACAAATCTAAAACCAACACATAAAAAACTACAAACAATAAAATAAACACTAACACTACAGAGTCTCATTCCTGGCCAAACGCCAATGAATACAAGTAGGTCTTCAAATAAGACGTGAGGGGGCCTGCCTAATATAAAGCGGCAAAGCATTCCACAGGTTTGGACGCACCACAGCGAAGGCTCTATCCCCCCTCGTTTTATGCCTAGCCCTCGGTGCCTCCAGAAGAAGCTGATCAGCTGATCTGAGGCACACGACCCCAAAAACGCACCGAAAGCCAATGGAGAGATGCCAGCAGTGGCGTTATATGGCACCTCTTATGCCCCCCAACCAATAACCGAGCAGCAGCATTCTGGACCCTCTGGAGGTGGGCAAGACCCGATTGACTAACTCCAGCATACAATGCATTACAGTAATCCATACGAGATGTAATAAACGCATGGATAACTGTCTCCAAATGCTGCCGCGACAAAAAGGGTTTTAGTTTCACTAACTGCCTTAAATAGAAAAATCCAGATTTTACGACCGCATTTATCTGGCTCTCCATTTTCAAGTCGGAGTCTATTTTAACACCCAAATCAGTGACCACCAGTCGCACATACTGCCCCAAGAAGTCTACAGGAAGAGGGTCGCCAGACGTATTCTGGCCAAACACTATAACCTCAGTTTTAGCATCATTTAACTTTAAACAGTTTAACGACATCCAGCCCTTAATATCGGCAAGACATGCTAAAAGCGGTTGAATCGAGTAGGTGTCCTTCTTACTCAGTGGCATAATAATCTGGACAT